ATGTCAAATACAGCGTGACAAAGACAGAATTACAGAGCATTTCCATCTGTGGGGTTCATTCCCCAAATGGCTCTGATAGACAGGGCTGGTTCAGGTTGAAGCCAGGAGATTCATATGGGTCTCCCACATTGATGCAGGAGCCTAACTACTTGAGCCATATTCTGCTGATTTTCCAAGCACATTGGCAGGGAGCTGAATCAGAAAGCAGGACAGGCAGGACTCAAACTGGCCTTCCCATATGGAATGCCAACATCACAGCAGTCGTTTAACCCACTGTACCACCACTCTGGCCCCTTCTAATGCACTTCTAGTCATTACACAAATGGGGAAACCAAGACTTTGCCACAGCTGAATGGCTGCTCAGTGTAAGAACACAGTTGTCTTCACTTTTTGAAAAGTGCTTTCTCCAGAGAAAAAGACTGTTGTTTTCTCTGTGTGGTAGGGGGAGTGGAAGTACTAAGAATACCATTTCATATTTCAGTAATTTGGGGGGGTCAAGAAACCTCCTTTCTCTCTGCGTTCTAGGCCACAGTAGCAGAGCATCTGATGCTCAGCATGACCCAATGGCCATGCTGTTGATACAAGCCTAGTGACATGCTACTACTGAGGTGTCCCTGTGGCAGTGAAGAGCTGAACCTCTCTCCATGTGCTCCTTTTGTGTGACACTTTCAGCCATTGCATTTGCATACCTCAGAGCATTTTAGCAGAGATCACTAATCTATTACCTGGAAAGATTTTAGGTGGAAAACTCCATGAACTTCTGGTATTACCTAGCCTTATTACTACTGATGACATTCTCAATAGAATTGCAAACACTAACTAGCTATGTAATTCTATCATTATCCTTAATTATAATTATAGTAAATTGAAAAAATAAAAGAATATGTAAGATGGCTTTTTCTGGCAACCAGATATTCTCATAGCTATCGATTCACTGTGGAGACTTTTCTTCTGCTCATGGTAAGATGCTCATAGAGTGAATGAATTAGACAGCCAGGGAGGAAGGCAGCCCACCCCATCCCTGAGCCTACTTCTTTGGGTCTTACCATATGTGCTGAAGGCATTCACAAAGCAAGTGGCCTGGAGAATTCCTGTGCACTGTGTTGGAAGTCTTTAGCTTCCATTCAGAAGAGATTACAGACCTTTGCCACCTTTGTGTTCTGTCTCAGTTAACCCAGCAGCTCCTTCAGTCTGGACCTGGTCTTCATAGTGTGATAAAATCGCCTCCCTCTCCTGCTTCCGAATTTGGTCTGGACTGTTTGTTCTGGGTTTGTTTGCACTGTCCATCATTCTGATAACTGATTCAAGGGCACCATGTTTAAATATTCAGAAGGGATCTGCATGAGAAAAATCCCCACTAAGAGGATCATCAGTGTTTCCTGAGAAAAATTATGGGCAATCAAAGAAAATCATGGGCAAATGTCAATTTGTGTATAGCAGGATTTGCTTCAGTATTGTTTTATGTTCCTGGGGAAAAAAAGCTGCTTAAACGTTTGGAATACTTCCCAGTTTTCCTGTTTTAAAGAAATGGTTAATTAGCAGTTTACACTGACATACATTTGACTTAATGTAACTTGTAAGCCACAAACCAGTGGTGCTAATATTCTAGACATGTGTACCCATATTCCTGAGTGACCAGTGTGTCACTGGGCTAATAATTTTTCACAGTTCATAGGGAATTTAAGTTAGTGAATGGAATGCTTAAGTATTTTCTCCCATAAAATTTATAATCCTAATCTTGTCTTTGCAACACCTCTCAGAGTCTAATACAGACTGTCACTTTGTGCAAGCCAGAATTTTCTCTCATTATTTTAATTACTTTCACTCCTTTAAGTATCTTTCAGATTCACTGCCACCCAAAAACTTTAATAATCACTTGTCACTGTTGTACAAAATGTATTCACAGACTCTCTAAAGGTTTTTGATACCTTAAACTTTTAGGAGTTTTCACTTTTCTCAAGTGAAGTTAGATTTCTTAAGGAGTAATACAAAGCAATTTTTGGTGACACTCACATTTTCCCAATATTTCATCTCTATCTTTTCTTTTGCTTGCTATTTCTGATTTCTGTATTCTAATTTCTTCTCTGCTTTTGTAATCCCTACCACTGATTGAGTATTTACTATGTGCAAACCATGCATCCACTATGCAAATGAGGATATAAGACTCAAATATGCTGTGTACAGATCATCCAAGTTATAATACTTGAACATAATTTTTCATATATGTATATATGAAAGTTATCTGCATTCAGTAAAGCTGCACTTGGAATTTGAATTTAATCTTTGCTTGGGCTAAGACTGTGTGGTGCCCCCTGTCTGCCCATCAGGAACAATGGCAGTATGTGCAGCTCCAAGCCTGCCTTATGGTCAAGAGAAGAGCAGCCCACGCTCTGAAGCACATTTTGCTGCCCAGCTCAGATGCTCTGAACACTAGGTGGAATTAGTGCATTTTCTACCTATAATGCTTTTAATTTGTGATGGGTTTGTTGGGACATAAACTTACTGAAAGTCAAGAAGCCCCTGTCACTGTCCTGTAGTCACATAAATATGAAGAGCCAGGATCTTCAGGTCTGCTATCCACTCCTGTATCTCTTACCTCATGCTCTCCTTTACTTTTCCTCTGTTTTCCTTATTATAGTAAAATACATATTACATAAAAATTGCCATCTTCTCTCCTTTCTTATTTTATCTATTTGAAAGACAGAGTTATGGGATGAGGGGTAGGGTGATAGAGAGACAGAGGCGGAAATCTGCAGAGAGATCCGTAATGCACTCCCTAGATGGTCACAATGGCCCAGGCTGTACCAAGCTAAAGCCCTGAGCTAGGTAGGCATCTCATCCGGGTCTCCCATATGAGTGTCGGAGGCCCAAACGCATGGGCCATCTTCTACTGTCTTCCCAGGTTCATGAAGTGTCTTGGAATCCAACCATTTTTGCAGGTAGCACCTTAACTCGCTGAGCCACAATACCATCCAGCTGTTTTTAAGTATGTAGTTTAGTCATTTTAAATATGTTATTCTTCTAAAGCTATCATCATCCAAATTCTTTCATCTTCTTAAGCTGAAACATCATACTCATTAAACAGTCACTTCCTGCACCCTCGCCCCTATGGTTCCTGGCAACCTCCCTTCTACTTTGTATCTCAATGAATTTGATTCTTCTAAGACTGTAAATGAGTGAAATCATCCAGTACCTGGATTTCACTTGGCATAATGTCCTTGGGGTTCATCCAGGTTTGAACATATCTCAAGATTTCCTTCCTTCCCATTGTGTGAATATACCACATTTGGTTTTCCATGATTCATTCATGGGCACATGGGTTGCTTACACCTTTGGGCTGCTGTGAATAGGGCTACTGTAAACACAGTTGTACTTTTCCCTTCTTACAATCTGCCTGTGTTGTAGGCTTGTCTGGGGCACCCACTGACTTTGCTTAATCCGACTAAGAACATCAAGACCTGTATAATTGAGGCTCCATGTAGAAACACTTTAATGGAAGTGTCTATCTTTATTTAAAGTGGTCTGTATTCTCCAGGGTCTTTCTTCCAAGTCATGAATAGTCAGTGCACAGGATTGGATGAGTGAGTAGCAGAAGTAATGGTTTACTGAGCTTTTAATTTGTAAATATAAAGTGCTTTATCAGTTACTTTGAGTAAACTGGAAATGTATTGTGAGAGTCACTCATTATGTCGCTTATTCACCACTGGAGTGATTTTACACATATCCTGCCCATTCTCTGGGCACTCGGCAATGACTGGAAACATTTCTGTTACACTGATGGGCAGGTCCTTCTGCTGTCTAATGAGTAGAGACCATAGATGCTACTGCCATCCTGACACTGCACAGGATAGCACGTCCAACACAGAGTGCTCCAGCCCAGACCAAGAAGCCCTGCAATCTGTAGTCTTGTTCAATTTACATTGATTAATCACCAAGTATGGAACATTAAAAGACACCAATTATTTTCCTTGTCTTCATGACAAGATGCTAGCTTGAAGTCAAGCCAGTATATTGATGCCATAGTTGCAACTATTTATTAATTCAGGATGTAAAATTTCAAGTGCTTAAGTGTAATCTTAATATATAGGGGAAATTTTATTTTAAAACTATAACCTAACATTTAAGATATTGATAATTATATGTATAAATAAATATATATACATGTATTTATATATTATATATATATTAACGGTAGGAAGCATTGGCATAATTAACGAGCTTTCTTTGGATTTGAAAAGCATGATGAAGCAACCTCCTGTGTAAGATTGCTTTGTTTAGACTATATTTAGATCTAACTCACCATCCAGATCTCTTAGGACGTAACACTGGAGGCTCTATGGGGTGTTTTGAAAAGTTGACTTAAAATATCCCATGGATAACCCACTTGCATAGCAAATGACACTAAAAATATACCAAATCCTTCCCACTCTGAGCATTTTCCCTAACCGTATAATAGCTTGAAAACACATCATTTGATTACATACTTTCTCATCACAAAGTTTAAGCAAAGACTCACTTCCACAGAATAGAACTTGGGACTGAAAGGAAAATCATTTGATGATGCACCTTCTCCTGCCAGGTGTCCCCAGGGGCACTAAGATCTCTGTTTCCTGGTCAGGAAGGGCCATGGAGTCACTATCTGGGAAGTTTTTGTTGTGGGAGCTACCATAGAATACGTTTGAATGCCTGCCTGATTAAACTAGCCCTTCCTTGGGTTAGAGCCAGAATCAGTGGGATCCTACAAGTATGCACTTATAATCAACCCCCTGTCCTTTGTGTATCTTCAGTGCAAAACCATGAAAATACAATGTGTATCGCTAAGAATCCTGAAATCCTGTCTTGGTTGCCCTAGAAGAAATAAATTTTGGCTTGGTGTTCTGGTGACCTGGTTGGATCCCAAAGGTTTTCCTAGAAAGGGCTTCCTGCATGGGAACGGGAATTGATCCTCAGCCAGCTGACCCACACAAAGCTAGACTCACAAACCTGTCTCTGTGTTGCAGGACGTGGGAAGAAGGCAAGGTGTTCATCTTCGATGATTCCTTTGAGCACGAGGTGTGGCAGGACGCCTCGTCTTTCCGGCTGATTTTCATCGTGGATGTGTGGCACCCAGAGCTCACCCCACATCAGAGACGCAGCCTTCCTGCAATTTAGCAGCAATTCATCCAGCTTGGGACTCTCTACAGAGAAGCTGTCTTGTTTGGCTTCGTCTCTTTGGGTGTGAGGAATGAGATTTGAACACTAAGGTTCTTCATCCCCTGAGAAATTCTGTGCCTCCTCCTAAGTTTTGAAGTCACGAAAGAGGATTTGTCTCATTGTCATTCATTTAGGGAACACGCTGCTGTATCATCTCCTGACAGCACTGATCGTATGCCTGTACTAAGATGAACACTTGACAGCGTCTGCATTGCCAGCCAAAGATATTTTTTCCATGTAGAATAACAGGTCAAAATCTGCATATTATGAGAATATGTGTATAAACTGTGAATATATGGCTTTAGTTCATAATTTTTCTATGCAACTGTATTTTTCTAGGATTGCTAAACTGTTTTGTCTTCACACACCACTACATTTTGTTGATTGCAATGACAAACTGTGTAAATACTTTAGCTGCTTCATGATAACGTCTCCCGGTGAACTCCAATTTCCCTCTTTCAATTCTTTTAGTAAAAGGCGCTCATGAATTAGGCAATGTTATTTTCCTAATACAAAAGAGAACACAATTACATCAATGCCCACGAACTATCCTGATCCCTACCTATTATCCACATTGAGTCTTGTAATTTTACCTCATTGTGTTAATGGTAGAAATATTATCAAAATCATTGTTCTAAGGGGAATTTTTGCATTGGGATAGAATATGAGATCATTTTTAAAGAGACATATCAAAATACTAAGTAGAAGTTTTATAACACCAAGTATGAGGCCTTGTTTGTAAGGATAAACATTTGGAGAAGTATGTTCATTGAGGACTTGGCAGATAGGTACTGCTAGAGGATCCTGACTTTTTTGCTGTCTGTGAGGAGAGGCCGGGAACCCAGAGCGTCTACCTACTATCCAGCTCTGAGAGACAGTTCAACCCCCAAAATTTTGTAAAAATATTAAGGATAGAACGGAAGGTCGCTTTGGATGCTGCAATATCTATGCTAAGTATAAGGGGTGGAGACTGCTCTTCTCTTTGAACATGCTTAGAAGACTCTTCCCCCTGGCTTAAGGAGCTTTTGGTTTGCCTTTGGAACACCACTTTGAAAGTGCAGTGACCTAGAAATCAGAGTTGAAAATGGACTCAACCTATTCATTTCCCCAATAACCAAGTCATTGATTCACTATAATACCAAAATTTTGATTTTGTGTTTTTAAAATGCAGGCTAACCAGAAATGCTTGTTATAAGAATGTGATGATGTTCAGGCACTGAATCCTAAGCCATGATGAACAAAAATACTGCCAAAATGGCATATAGGTCACTTGATTTTGTTCACAGGTAGAAAAATACACCTGTGCTTTCTTTTCTTTACAAGGAGACTTTACGAAGGAGATTTTACGAAGGAGACTTCCCTGATCTCATTCAAAGAAGATTTCATGGGCTTGCATTGTGGCATCGTGCATTAAGCCATCACCTGTGATACCAGCATCCTATGTCGACATTGGTTCATCCCAGCTGTTCCACTTCTGATCTAACTCCCTGTTAATGTGCTTGGGAAAGCAGTGAATGATGACCCAAGTGAGCACCTGTATGGGAGTCCTGCATGAAGCTCTTAATTCTTGTCTAAGGCCTGGTCCAGCCCTGGCTGATGTGGCCATTTGGGATTCAATCTACAGATGGAAGATCTCTCTCTCTTTCTTTTCTCTGTCTCTCTCTCCCTCCCCCACCCCTATAATTCTGCCTTTCAAATAAGTAAATACATCTTTTAAAAAAAGAAATCCCTTCTGTGCCAGTGTTGTGATGTAACAAGAATGGCACCTATAGCACTGGCATTCCCTATGGGTACCAGTCCATGTCCCATCTGCTCCACTTCTCATGCAACTCATTTAATGGCCTGAGAAAGTTAGCTGGGACGGTTCCATTGTTTGGATCCATGCCATCCATGTTCAAGACCCAGATGAACCTGCAGGCTTCAGCGTGGTCAACCCAGGGCACTGCAACCATCTCCGGAGTTAAGCAGAGATGGAAGATCTCTATGTCTCTCATGCTATCAAAAACTCTGAGTTTCAAATGAGTAAATCTTTTAAGGAAAAAATTCCTTAATACTGAACTCTTGACCTTACAGATAGTGGCTTCCAGTAGAAGAGTATGCAAAATATTTATCCTGTTCTTTCTGTTTTGCCAGTGTACAAAAATCCCACAAAAATAGATGCAGAAGCACGGCAGAAAAACTGTCAAATACCAAAATGCAGAAGAGAAAAGAAAACTCATGAAAAATAATACATTATTTGTGTCCATCAGTATTTATTGAACAGAGGAAATGACTGACAAAGGGCAGCACGATCTGGTGCTCATGGAGTGACATTTGCGTCACTGTTGATTTTGGTTCTCATCAGTATAGTGCATACACATAAAAGAGATACAAACTGTAATCCATCATTGCTGAACCATCACCTTACATTCATTTAATGAAATTATGGGATAGAGGAAAACTAGCTCTTAACTAAGCAAATATATGGTATTTAAAATCAGGTCACTACAGTAAGGTTCTAAATATTGTCAGTGGAAACGCCACAGATATTATTACTGTTGCAAAGGGTTGGCAATAATTGATTCCAATAAGATTTTAAGTACTTGGATTCCACACCTGTTTTGTAAACCAAAGTGCAAGATGGGTTTTCTAATTCACCTTAATTCTTTGTTTCTTACCTTTGTCTTATGAGGCAAGTGTTTCAGTCACTGCGTTGGTGGAATTATTTCAGTATTACTGTTTTGTGGCTTGAAATGTCTATACAAAATGAATTGATTTTATTGATACTATAATGCAAGTGCTTGAGAAATATTTTGCATTGTGTTTCAATATTATTTCTTGAATTGTGGAATGTAAAAATGAATTCTGTTGTTATTCTTTACCAGTAGGAAGAAATGAAACATCAGAAAGAAATGCAACATAAGGTTAAACTTATTATCTATTGCAGGTAATTGTGGCCAATTACACCACATTTTTTCTTTTGAATTTTTCAGTTCACAAATTAGTACTCCCAAATACTTAAAACAGGAAGTCAAATTTTACTGTGCGTTATCAACCAATTTGTTTTTTTTGTTTGTTTTTACAGTGATCGCCAATTGATCATAATAAGAAATGCTCATGTCAGGTAGATGTCTGGGCAAACAAGCAATTTGCATTGGTCTTGAAAACATTGGAACAAGCAAGGTATTATATCCTATTACATCTGTTTATTTTATATCTGATTTACTTGGAATGGGTAGTTGGGAACTCCTTTTCTACGGAGTAGATAAAGAAATAAAAGATCTTTGGCATTTTATCTTGCATTCCTTGTCTTCTCTGATCTCAGTGTCTGTATGTTTACATCCTTCAAGGTATCTTCCTCCGTGATTGAATATCAGTCTTCCTAGCAACAGCCAGGCCCTTTCTTCACACCTGTGATGATTTTAGGAATGTGGGGAGTTCAGTGGCTTGGTAGCTCTTTTCTTTGCTGTAGTGAACCAAGTGAGGCAATTCAAATGTATTTGTTGTGTGTTTTCAGTGAGACACCTCTTCTCTGCTCACACACACACACACACACACTGGACTAATGGGTTCTCCAGCTATCTGTGGGAAATCAATGTTGCTAAGATGAAATAATTGCATTCCAAATTACGCAGATCTCTTAAGCTGGAGGCCTGATGAAAGATAGGACATCAAAATCATTTTTTCGGGACATCAATATAAGCAAATTGCAAATAGCCAGACCTATGAGAACATGCTCTTAGGCAGAACAATTCAATGCTGGTGATGAAGTCAGAGAAAATAATTCAATAAGGATGGAAATTACTATTGTCTTGGGACTTGGCACTGCATTAAACTTGACCATCTGACCGGCAACAGTTTAACTCTGCTGTTTTTACTTGGAAACATACTTGATCTTATATTGCAAAAACTGGAGAGTCCCTGTACAAGCCCTCAGAAAAATCCTTGTTCTAATGTGTGTACATCAAGTGGAGTTTTTCATTGTTTCAGTTCTTTTAATACCATATGTATTTGGGGAGAGCTATCTTTTTTTACATAACTGCATTGCTTCATGCTCCATCCCCTCAGTGAAAAAAGAAACTTTATCCAACTTTGGCTGCTCAGACTAACAGCTGGTGAGAGTCATTGCTGGGGTCAGGAGTGCAGGGCCTCAAGTCAAGCGGATGGCACATGTCTGTGCGTCAATCACACACATGCTTCCTCGGTGGTTGATACCACTGAAGGCCAGTGTGCAGGAGCATCAGGGTGGCTCATGGCTCAGTCCAGAGCCAGGAGTGGCTGAGTGTTCTCATTCTCTCCCTTCTCTTCATGTTTCAGGGTCCCAGCTTCAACCACAGACTGTGATCTAGAGAGGGGCCAGAGAAAAAGACACAATTACAAACTATTCATCTTTTTCATCAAGATACTTATTTATATCATTGTGTCCCATCATCAGAGCATTAGCTTGAAAAACTCTCTAGAATCCTCTCTTACAGCTGTTGATAAGGATTAGAACTAATGATAGAAAGTGTTTGGCAGAATCATAGTTAAAATATGTGGAACACTTTTGTCATAATTATTACAATAACAATAGAAGTAATCTTTAGTTTCTGATGTGTGCTTTTACATTTTAATGATTACAACAGCTTGCAATCATTTTCCAGTTTACAGCAAAAGAATTATAAAAGCTACATGTGTAGTAAATATACAGTGATGTTCATATACTTAAAAATATTCAAAATATTAGCAACATGATTAAATTGGTTGTTCAAATAATCAGAATTTACATATTTGAGTAAATGGTTGATTCATTAGACTTGCAGCCCAAACCCTGTTCATCCCAAAAGTCTATATGACTGAACTTAAACTGGCTTCTCTGAACCCTTGGACCATCCTGATAAGAGTGTCTTCATAAATATGAAGCTGTAGGATGCACTTGCACTAGATAGTTTTGATAAACTGTGCACTGTCTAATGAATGCATTATTTATATCAATGTGTACATGTGGGTTTTGAGTCATACTTGTGTCAGTTTGGTTTCTTCAGCCTTGGCTCGGTGTATTGAAGACCAGCTGTTAACACAGGTAGCTTTCCTGCTTGATGACATTTACTATGTGTGCTGTCACATGTCATTGAGAGAATCAGATTCTGTCCATGTGACTACCAGGAGCAGTGCTAGAAACTGGCAATCGCTCTTTCCCTGACTACCCTCTACATTCTCCCTTGCAGATTTTAGAACACATGTTTTTGTTCTAATAATCAGTCACTGAAAGTATAACAATTTTTTTCATTTTTAAAGCACTTTAGGCAGATTATCAAACACAATCACATATATTAACTGTAGTACTCATGTGTGCATTAGTATTCTCGCAGATCAGTTATATGTATTAACTTATGACATTCTCATAAGATGACTTAAGATGGCACTCTTAATGTCTGCATTTTGTAGATGACAAAACAACTGAGGGACCAAAACTATCAAGTAAAAAAGCAACACAAGTGCTATCAGACAGTGACTGATATCAGAGTGGCTATCAGGCAGCTTTATTGTCACTGTACTCCGATCCTGAGCAAAACAGAAGTCCCAGCCTTATTTAGCTGAAATATTTAGCGTTCCTTCCACGCCATAACACTAATTTTCTTGGCTCCTTTCAGAATATTTATGAACTATAAAAAGCATGAGGATTACAATCAGTACAATTGCTTCATGGCAATTAGCTATGCTTTATATTTCCACCCAGCCAAACATCCAACATTAGAGACCAAGTCAATCCTTTGAACATGAAATGGACTCAGTGCTGGGATGGGGCAAAAGAAGTCCAGCCCCTTGACATATTTTTTAGGAATCTCTTTCTTTTCTGTCTATTCTGTCTTTTCTTGTGTATGTGGAATATGGGTGTAGGTTTATATAAAGAACAACAACAACAAAACTAAACGTTCAGCAAGCATTAAAACAACCAATATTAGGAGCAAATTTGCCCACCCCGACAGAGCACTTCCATTGCAGCACCTGGACAGAGCTGCCTGTACTCAATCGGCCCAAGAGAGAATGGAAGGCATAGGTACTGGTGGCCAGGTGTTTTTAGGGACCTCCCACTACATTTCTCAGCTTTCATGTAGTCAACTTCATTTTGCAACAAACCACACGAGCCTTGGTTTCTTTATTAGCAAGGTAGGTTGCCCTTGGAAAAGCCAGGGTAACTTAAGATCAGGGTAAAATAATTGCTTGACTTCATTGTTTTTTGTTTATTTGTTTTTGTACACTTCTGTTAGGCCCTCTAAAAGTTTATTAGCTTCACTCAGGCTTTGATAGCCACATGGGTAATGTAAAATTTGGCTATATGTGCAAATGTTGGTGTTAATTCATTTCACTTCCTTTTTGAATGTGCATAAATACTAAATTTTGTCTTTTTAATTTGCCACATACTTCTGATATATCTTTTTGGGTCCTGAAGTGTTTTTTTTTTACTTATACAAAAATATTTTCTTTGATTTTGATAAGTTTTCAGACCTCACTCCAAACTTTTCTTTTCCCTATTTTGATAGACATTATGGGGAAAACTCAACAATTCTCATATAATGGGGTTTTGCAACAATCATTCAAATTACCCAGGTAGGAAACGTTTTTGAGTATCTTCAACGCTACACCACAGTCCATGAGAAAGTGTGGAACAACCTTCATTCTTTCGTCAGTTACTGCTTCACTTAGCTAACCAAGGGCCACAGACGTGGAATTGTTGTGGCCAGTGCCCCTTTACCCAACAGGAGAGGCAGCTTTGGGGATGGACTGTGTTCACTGTGAAAGTAGACAAATGAAGGATTAGTCTTCCACACGGTGAGATCATTCACCATCCTTGTTCAAGAACCTGTGTTCCTTGTACTTTCCGCATGGCGTCAAATTGAAATCAACACAATTTTTTTTTACTAGATGATGCTCAGAATTCTGGCTGCTATCCCAGCAAATTGTTTTTCTTCATTGAATGGCAAATAGCAATAGGAGAATTTCTAGCATGAGAAACCAAACATGATGCTTCCGCTCCCCACCACCAGTCTACATTTCTGTATTTAAGAAGTTGACTATGATGTCTTTCCTTTCAACATAAAATAATTTTATTTACCTGCAACATACTATATTGTGAAGTATTCAAAACTCATTTACAAAAAATAGAAAGTAAATGTGTTGCTTTAAAAAAAATTATAGTAAAAATCTAAGCTAAAAGAAAAGCTTTCTTAAATCTTGCCCTTTGCCAGTTGAGTAAAAATACTTTCTAGGAAAACTCATCAATGCTCTCTGTTAAACAATGTTCCTAATAGTTCCAGTGTGCTCCAGAGTTGTAGTTTTCATACATTCACCAGGGAGAAACTACTTGTTGGGGGCGGGGGGGACTTTGTTATCCAGATCCGTCTTGGTGGCAATCTCTCCAATCAGAGGGTTTGCCTCTCACAAGAAGCTTAACACTTGAGCTAAAAGAAGCATTTCTCTTGGATCTGGCTTTCCAACCCCGAAAGCCAGCTTAACCCAAGGACAAGCAGGGGAGTGATTTCTATTATTTGACCCATCATTAATTCAGTGGTGTATCAGGCTTCATTCTAGGTTGATAGCCACATTTTGCTTTCCTGCTATCAACCCTCTTCAACAACTCTCACTTGTTCCTGCTTTCTCTCTCAACCCTTTTATTCCACCAGACTTGGAACTCACTCCACTTTGTGTCATGTATGACTTTCATTTAACTTTCACTGATGCCAATGGGCAATTAAGTTCCAGGGAAAAACGAGCTGAAAATGGAAAAGCATTCACCTACAGCTACAACTGGCATGAGAAGTTTGTCTCAACTGTTTTTAGCTACCTTAACTCAGAAGATGATGATCTCTGTGTGCTTCTGTCCCTTGAGTGTTATCACACACTGTAACTACATAAATGCCATTGGGACCCCAAGACTTCTCTCTAAGCACAAGCATTCAACAAGAATCATAGAACCAGGGCCATCAGAACCTCAGGAGTATTTCAGTTCTCAAATGCTCATTTGAACCAGACTCTGTTGATTCATTTTCTAGGGAACAATCTCATCACTTAATCAAAAAGTACTAAATAGCTCTGGAATTATTTACTGAAATCAACAACAACAGACATGGCCTTGTGAAATAGCACAAAATTGTGAGTCCGTATAGAAGTTTGTTGGCACGTGATTACTCTGAATGAAATCAGTGAAAAATCCTATTGTATCTCATACTCCTGCTATGTATATAGTAAGCATTAGCTGTAGATTGCCTAGCAAAGATACTAAGGATAGACTGTTTTTATATATGATATACTTAAGTGTGATATTTGCAGAGGAAATATTGATACTGTGAGTATTTAATGTCATTTGGAGGAAGAGAATGAAACTAATACTTTGCCTCACTTCTAAGGAATCCAGTCTTGTAGTCCACTAAACTCTGAACACTGTCACATGCCCTCGTAGGCTATTGTTTACCTTCCTGCGAGGACTATTACATAAGGATTAGCTATGAATCTGTGGGTCAGAATTACTTTTGGGAAATAACTTTCCCACAGTTAATTAGTGTTGGACAACTAATGCTTGAAACTTAGTGTTAATGTTGTTTGTCACCTTGTGCCATCCTTCATTAGAAAAGGAATTAAGTGTTTGCAAATTAGCTCCTTCATCCTTATAATCAATGTTGTTTTAACTAATCTGAATACTATAAAGAGAATTAGTTTAGCTTCTGGTTTGTATTTTATAATGTTCTTATATAGCAGTTTCATAGTGAAGGCAGTTTAAAATGACAAGCTGAGACTTCAAATGGGAACAGATAAAACTTAAGAAAGTTTGTTGTGTCATTGCAACCACAGTAAAGGTGATTTGAAAGGTGAAAAAAAAAGTTTGTTAGCAGAATGTGTATTTTATTCAAGTATCTTTAAGGAATGTGAAGAAGGCTTCCCCTCCCCCACTCCCAGTAACTTCAGGTGTCAGGGAAATTCTCCAGGTGATTTCCAAAATTGTACTTGAATGAGGACTTCACTTTCTTTTTAGTGATCTTTGGGAAATTCTGTCTTCTCATGTATACAATGAGGACACCACAGTAAACAAATCAGGGGGTTTGAATTGATGCACATAAAATATGTATTCTGGGCCCGGCGCGGTGGCGCAAGTGGTTAAAGGTCCTCGCCTTGCACGCCCGGGATCCCATATGGGCGCCGGTTCTAATCCCAGCAGCCCCGCTTCCCTTCCAGCTCCCTGCCTGTGGCCCAGGAAAGCAGTCGAGGACAGCCCAAAGCTTTGGGAACCTGCACCCGCGTGGGAGACCCGGAAAAGGCTCCTGGCTTCGGATCGGCATAGTATCGATCCGTTGCGCTCACTTGTGGAGT